ACCCAAATAGGCTAGACAGGCACTGACTGAGGAATCCACCGCCATCCTTGAAGAGAGCAGGTGGAAGGTCGTCAGGACCAGCAGCACGATGGCGCTTGAGTAGAGAAATGCATTCGGACACTTCTGAGACTGAAGGCGGCTCTATATTTACGGTCCACCTTTCTGTTGAAGGCCGGGTTTCTGGATTGGGGTTAGCAGGTGGCCAGCTGAATTGTTGTTCGAAGTACTGTGCCCAGCGATCCAAACGTTCTGCTTTGCTGCATATCAGGGAGCCATTTTGGTCCCTGATTGTGTCACTGACAAGAGGTTTCCGAGGACCAGTCGAACGAATCAAGTGAAACAATTTGCGCAAGTTTCCAGCATTCTTCGCATCTTCCATTTCTTCGACCCTCTGGGTCCACCAAGGTTCTCGGTCTGCGCCGACACTCAGATTCACCTGGCGTCGGATGATGCGCCGGGTGGAGTTGTGGTGGCGACCAGGTGGGATCTGTCACCGGATCTCCAGCTAAGACACGGTCCTACCAGAGATCCAATGCTTGGATGAGGTTGGCTGGGTTGTACCACAAGCAGACGCTCCTGCTTTTCCCGGTGGCGGTTTATGTCCGACACCGTATCGTCCGGCAGGCATTCGAGGAGCTGGTTTTGATAGTTTCGTTTGACTTCCGGGTCCACTAGCTTCTCAATTGCTAACTGAGGTGTACGCGTTTTGCGTATACCTGAAAATCGCAATGAAAAACAGCGGCGTACAAGTGCATGGTCGAAGTCCACGCTGGTGTTCCAAAAGGAGCGGGAGGCGGTGATTGACCCTCGCCACCGATAACTGACGGCGATGTCGTCTATTTGGATTCGGCGCTGGTTTGATGGTGGGCACCACGTTGTCAGGCGATTTCCGCTGTTCCGGAAATTCGTACTGCAAAGGAACAGCCTGTGATCGGCACACATCTGAAGTAACTGGTCTCCGTTGTCTGCGCATCTCGTGTCCAAACCAAGACGACCACCCAATCGGGCCTCAGCAGCGCTTAGTCTACCTACCTGG